TTCAGCATTCCCTGGGGACCTCGCTGCCCTGTTCCCTTGCTGTTCTGTTGCACCCCCTTAGTGTTTTGCCTCGGTGTGGCGGGATCAGATCAGGCGCAATTCCCACACTATGTCTCCGGTGTTGTGCCCTGTAGGGCTATGGGTCATTGAGGGACGTCATGTCTCATAGTGGGGCTGGTCTTGTGCTCCTCTCTGAACTAGCTGCTCTAATCGGGAACATCGTCCTCAAGGTCTGGTGGGCCAGGATGTGCTCCACTGTCTCCTCTTCCCCCTTCATCTGCTCCCGTGTCCCTCTCCCGGAGCTGCAGATGCAGTGCCGTCCTTTGAAATGAATTCTTCTGGGGGGAGGGTCAGGTGTCCATTAGTAGTTGGGATTGGGGCCGGGCCCCCCAGACCTCTCCACTGGAAAAGCTCATTTCTAATGATTATTTTACAAAGTAAAACAGTCATGTAGGAAGTCCTGGGAGATGGACCAGGCTTAGATTGGGGAATTGGAAATGGAGAAGGCGGGATGTGCTGTGGGGGCAGACCCTGTTCCGCCTTCAATGCACATGCCCCCAGGGCAGAGCAATGCTGGAACCTGGGAGCAACCAAACGCATGTTGCTGCCTGCTGCTTACCCGCCTCTGTCTCCTCCATGTGCTGCTTCCATTTCAGCTCTTCCTGTGGTGCAGGAGACCCAGTGCAGCCCAGGCAGCTGGGGACCTGGCCGTTCATCCTGTACATCTGCCAGTGTCCAGAAAGGACTTCAACTGCTCTGACTTGTGTGGACGGAACAGCCCTCATCTGACTGCAGCCTTCCCTGTGCTCTGCCTCCCGCTCCATCCCTCCTCCTGAGAGCCTTCTTGACTGTAGAGACCACACACCCTTCGACCTCCAAACTGCAGCCAGGAAATGGTGAGTGCTTGGGCACCTGTGCTAGTCTTGTTGTCTGTTTTGGGTATTTCTTTACTTAAAGAAATTGTATGTATTGGGAATTAATACATATATCAGTGCATGGTTCAATCATGTGAGCAGAATTGTTTTCCAAACATCCCTTTTCTACATGGACTCCTAAGCATCTCCCCTTCACCTCGTCACCAACAGTGTATCTCCTTCCATCCTCAAACCTTCCATTTCCTATATAGGCTCATGCATTCTGAGTTTCATGTACCAAAGAATGAAATAACTTATAACACAACTTCAAGAGGGTGGTCCCAGTGACCAAACACCTCCTCATATGTACAAACAAAAAATACCAACCCAAAAAAAACAGAAAATGTTGGAAACCAGATCAGTTCTAACACGCACCAAAGGAGGTGGGGAATCTGCTGCCAACATTTTAACTGTTGAAGGCAAATGTCTGCTTTGATCTTGTGTATTCGACTCAGCAGTGGACTCTGTTTAGTGCTAGTTTTTGGTTTATGAGTGTGGCTGGATAGGAAATGGGGTGTGTGCGGCCAGCTGTGTGCTGTGCAACTGTGTTTCTGGTCTTTTTTAGACACCGGCACAGGTTAAACTGTCTTCATTTCTTACCTGGTTTTGTCCAAAACTCAAGGTTTCTTCCTGCCTCTTTGTACACACTACTTCTTGGACAGCTGTCTGATCAGTGTCCTCTTCTGTTCAGAAAGGTGACCTTGCTCTGCACCCTGATGAGGAAGAAGTTAGACTCTCTTCAGTTCCTACAAGTTCCCGAAAACATGTGTCCTCTGACCCCAAACACCCGTCAGGCTCCTCTCCCCTCGCTCTCCCACAGCCCGGCGGGTTCAAACTGAGTGTAAAGCTTTCCGTCAGTGAGGGAGTTTATTGTGCCAACTTGGCTGATAAACACATATGGGGTTAATTGAAGGGCAGAGGGAAGCCTCGCCTTTCTGGTTCTCTGGTCTCTTGCTTTGTGTTGGTCGGACCAGGGTGCAGCTGCCTTAGCCAGTTCCCTGCTTCAGGTGGCAAGGCTCACTTCCTGCAAAACATCCCCTAGGAGAAGCCGCATGGACCTGCCCCGTTGCAGCCCTGGGTGCTGGAGCAGTCGTGTGGGACCCTTGTCAGCGCTCAGATGCTGACACGCTCACTGACTCGGCTTTCCTCCTGCAGTCGGCATCACTGCGTGTGTTCTGTGAGATGGAGGAGGACCTTGTAGATCGGTGTTGGACATAGGGGCTAATGTTGGACTTGTGGTTTGGGCAGCACTGGGTTGGGATGCTTTTTGAATGTACACTTACCCTTTATATAAAACCCTCTCTTACACTTATGAGTTTATGTGGATTTGTTTCTCTAATGTACCCAGACTATACGATCAGCAAGTGAAGGGGGAGCCATTATCCTTACATCAGGCTCTTTCCATCTCTACTGCCCACCTGGCATCATGGGTGCTTTAGACAGGTTTTGTTCACAGTGTTTTTTCTCTTCACAGTCCCTATTGCAGGACAGGCATTGTTACTGTTTTAGAACCACCTTGTTGTAGGAAATGTGCAGGGGACCTTTTTGGCTTTAATTTTAACAATCTTTACTGCTCGTTTGATCATCAGTTGTGTGTGTAGTGTTTTATGTAAATCATACCTGACCTGGGGCTGCAGGAGAAAGATGGCCTTTTCTGCTCCTGTAAAGACCTACGGCCTTGGAGACCCCCAGAGCCAGTTGTGTGTCACACGGGGTTGCTGTGAGTCGGACTCCATGTGATGGTCATGAGTTTGGCACTCCAGGTCACCGCAGTTTTCTCCTCTGGTGTCTTCTAGGAGTTTCCTTCCTGTGCACTGACATTTTTCTTGAGTTAATGTTTGAAAAAGCTGTAACATCTCTGTATATATCGCCTTTACTTTGTTTTGCTAGTTGATGTACAGCTGTCTGAGCACCATTTATTGGAAAGACTATTTTTTCTGCCTGAGACGTTCTTGGTCCTTACTGGAAGACAAGATGATTTGCTTTTTGGTTCTTTTTTGCATTTTATTGAGATGCTTCTCTCTTCTCTTAGCACGGCTCCACTCTCTCACTCACTGCAGCTGCAGCTCTCATGGGCCACTGGGCAGCATCAGGCCCCCAACTTACTGCTTCAATATCGTGTGCCTTCTCCCTTTTCTCTTCCCATGAAATGTTCTACAAAGCGTGTTGACTCGTTTCTTATTCAGTTGGAACTGCATTGAGTGTGTAGATCACTTTAGAAAATGATTGGCATCTTTATTGGATTTCCTGTTATTTAGGGCTTTCAATTTATTCATCAGTTTTCCCGTTTTCTTACATTGTTTCTGTTTTCTTAGATTTAGAGCATTTCATTTTTGTTACCCATGTGTTTTGAATTTCAAGTTGCAATTGCTTTTTACCTACACAAAAGACAGCAATTGACCTGTATATTAATGTTTTATCCAGTAACTTTGATACGATTGATTATTGATTTCATCAGTATTTTATTGGTTGTTTGGAGTGTTCTATGTGGATGATCATTGTTTTTTCATGAACGTCAGTTTACTTTCCTTTTTGGTTGTCCCGACCCGCAGGAATGTCAACGCAGACCCTGGAGGAGGGAGTGGGAATTGGGGGGAACAAGAGACAGGAGAAACGAGACAAGACAGTATTCTGATCAAGTCTCTATTGAGTGAAAGGTTGCAGTCTATATAGGCCAGGGGAAGGGAAACACCCGTCGCACATGTAAATTAGGCCACTTTGGTAATAGGCCAATCAAGGAGTCCGGGGGACCTGGCCCTCAGTAATGGTTTACAGTCTTCAACCAGGTATGCGAAGTGATGTCATTTTATGCAAATCAGGTGCAGGCACTAGATGTGTAAATAGGGTGAAGACAATCTCCTTCCCAATCAAGGGGAAGCAGGATATAGGTGCTCTGTCACACCATGTATGGAAACCCCCCCATCTGCCTCCAGGCAGACCCGAAGGTTAAACTCAGCCTGTCCCAAGGACAGGCTACTCAGAGGGGAGACAACACAATCACAAAACTATGGCACGTAGGCGGGAATGGAATAGTACTGCAAGCTCTGACAAAATATAGTGAAGATTGAGCCGAACGGCCCCAGACATTTGGTGGTGGTTTTCTTTCATTGGCTCGGACTTCTCGTAGGACGCTGGTCCAGGTGGTGAGCTGGGACACCTTGCCTTGTTAACCATCTTAGCCAGAAAGAACCTGGTTTCTTGCTCATGGTCACGACGTCGGCTGTAGGGTGCGGGCAGATGTTCCTTTTCACTAGGGAGCCATTTCTCTCGGAGCCCACTTTGCTAAAGATTTTTATTTTGAACGAGTGTTGGGTTTTGTTAAATAATCTTTCTGCCTGTATTCATGTGTTCATATGCTTTTTTCTTCTTTAACCTGTTGAAGTGATGGGATCCGTCAGGTGAGCGTGTACTGGCTACTAGCCTTAGGCACTTAGAGTAAATCACACTTGCCCAGGTGCATAGGTCTTGTGATAACAGGAGGCTGTATTGGGCTGGGTTGTCTAGAGAAACAATCAGTGCTCACTCACGTATGTATAAAACAGAGCTTTATGTCAAGACATCATCTTATGTCCAGAAGGCTTCCCAGCCCGGGCCACCTGAAGTCCGTAAGTCTGATGCTGCCAGGGTTCCTCCTTCCTTTCACCAAGGCAGTTCGTGTCAGCCTTCCGGTCCATTGCTTTATCTTCCCACCTTTTTCTGCCAGACTCAGGAAGCTGCAACGTCTGTTGCTTGGGTATGCTGATATACTTGCCCTCCGTCTTTATTCTTAGAGGAGTGGACTAATACAATAAATATCATTTTTTAAAAATTATTTAATTGGGGGCTCATATAACTCTTATCACAATCCATCAGTATATATCCTTTTCTGATTGACTTAGAATAGTGTTTTCCGGGTCTGTCCATGTTATGAGGTGTTCAATTTTGTCATCCTTTTTTAGTCATGTATAGTATTCCATTGTGCATACGTACTGATATCTGTATCCATTCGTCAGCTGATGAGCGTCTGGGCTGTTTCCAGCTTCGTGCTCTGTGAACAGTGCTGTGGTGAACATGAGAGTGCTGATCTGTTCTTGTTAAGGCTCCATCATTCATTAGAGTAAATGCCCAGCAGAGGTACTGCTGGCCCTTGGCGTTTCTATTCCCAGTGGGTAGAGGTAGTCCCATATCACGTTCCTCAGTGGTTGTACATGATAATCTGCTTTGAGTTCTTTTGTGTATTTGCGTAGAGATTACTGGGTCATCATAGTTCTGTTGTCAAACTTTCTTTTTAGCAGCTACCAAGCTTTTCCACAGCTGCCGTTTCTTTTTGCATTCCAGCCAGCAATGCATGATGCTTACAATGTTTCATATGCTTCCCAATGCATGTTTGTCATCTCTCACGGCCTTCTCCACAAATGGAGAAATTTTCCAGATGCAGAATTTCAGCTTATTTTTTACTTGTTTGTTGGTTTTCTCCACCCTCAAGCTTGTACCTCTTGCTTTTTGTTTGCATGATTTCCTTTTGTTTGCTTTCATTCCTCTTGCTTTTTGTTTGCATGATTACTTACGTGTGCTCTTCAGTGAAGACTCACTGCCATTGGGTCAGTACTGACTCATAGCAACCTGTGTCAGTCCCGGTTTGACTAGAGAAACAAATCCCAGGACACTCAAATGTGTATAGGAAAGAGGTTTATACGGAAGAGTAATAATTTAGTGAGAAAACAGCCCAGCCCAGTCCAGATCAAGTCCTTAAGCCTGATATTAGCCCATATTGTCTGATACAGTTTGTAAATTCTTCTTCAAACTGAAGCAGTCCATGCAATGATACCGAATGCAGGAAGTTCACAGGCTGGTGGGTGAAAAGTCTTGTGCATCTGGTGGCAGTGGAAGCATCTTAGTGCTGGCGTGGGTCTCCGTGTGGCTCCTCCAGCTCTGCGAGTATCTCAACAGCAGGAAAGTAAAACAGAGAAAGTGTGTGGCTGCCTCCAGGGAGAAAGAGAGGAAGTTCCCAGAATCCTCATGAGAAGGCCAGGCCCATGAGGCATCATTAGCCTGTGACCTGATTGACAGGCTAGACTCCACCCCTTCAGTCTTCAGACCCTTCAGTTGACCCAAGATTAGGTGACCGCGACACACGCCTACGGGACAGGGTGGAATTGCGGCTGTGGGATTCCGAGGCTGCCCATTTCTTGGGAATGGAAAACGCCATCTTTCTTCCCTGTCTTGTCTGGTGGTTTCGAACTGCCGAGCTTGTAGTTAGCACTCCAATAATCCACTAAACCCACAGGGCTCCCACCCCCAAGCTATCCCTTGGAGTCTTCCAGGGTTTTCTGTTAGGTTTTGTGTAGTGTCGACATATCACTAGATTTAAATATTTGGTTTTAACCATGGCTGTGTTTTCCTGAATTTCTTGAAATCTTTGATTTGGTAAGCGTAATTCACTTTCTAAATTTCTCAGCTGTTAGGACGCATGAATATTGGTCATCTGTATTTCTTTCCTTCATGATATAATAAATGAGTGGATGGCTCTCTTTTAAGATTGTCCCTTGGTTCTTGTATATCCTGTCCCTTCTTTGTTTCCTGTACTTTACTTTTGATTATTTATATAAAACTCTTTATCTCTTCAAGGTCATGGCTTTTCATGTTCCAGGTCCTTTCAATTAATAAATATGTTAAAGGCATTCGGGCTATCTTCAGGGTGCTTTGTGAATTGAGTGTGTACACACACACACACACACACACACGTAAATTTTTATTTGGTCCAAAAAACTGTAGGATGTGTGTGTAGTTCCCCAGAAAGTAATAATCTGAGCACAAACATTTATCTCAGAAGTTTGTGTTCTGTTTCTATGAATCCTCAGTTCCCATCCACTAGCAGCCTCACTGTGTGTTCTTGTAAGCATTTGGAAACGTGATACCTTGCTCATGTTGAGTGTGTGGTCATTGTAGGACCCAGTGGACATTGAGGATGTGGCCGTGGTCTTTACCCAGGAAGAGTGGCCTCTGCTTGATCTTTATCAGAAGAAAGTCTACCGAGATGTGATGGTGGAAACTTTGCAAAATCTAGCCTCAGTGGGTAAGAATGAATAACTTTTAACCCCAACGCAGTACATAAAAATGTTTTATTGGTGCCAACAGTTCGAGTATTTGGACTGAGGAATGGAAATGCATTTAAAAAGTAAAAAGCCATGGTCCCTTGCTTTATGGAGCTCATATGATCTTGGTTTCCTCATGAGTCTAGTTTTTTTGTGTTAAGTATGCATTCATTTCACCCGCTCACAGTGAAAAACTGGCACTATAGAACTGTGTGCTCATCCATTTGCTAGGAATTAAGGTTGCAGACGGACATTGGGCCTCGACTCAAGTACTCCCTCAGCACATGAACACTTTGTTCTAACCGTCTGGCATTCTATGATGCTTACCTTCCCCACACGATCTCTGAAGACAAAACGGGTGCTTAAGCAAATGTGGTGAAGAAAGCTGATGCTGCCTGGCTATCAAAAGATAGCTGGGGTCTTATTGCTTCAAGATAAACAAGCAGCCATCTAGCTGAGAAGCAACTAAGCCCACATGGAAGAAACACACCATCCTGTGAGATCATGAGGTGTTGATGGGGTCAGGTATCAAACATCGAAGACCCAGAACACAATCATACCCAATGTGAATGGGATGGGGCCTGGAGTGGAGACCGGATGCCCATCTGCAGACAATTGAACATCCCCTCACAGATAGGTCACAGGGAAGAGTTGAGGGAGTCAGGGTGCAGTCTAGCACCAATGAAACGCAACTTTCCTCTTGTTCTTTGATGCTTCCTTCCCCCCCACTACCATGACCTCAATTCTACCTTACAAATGGGATTAGACCAAAGCATGCACACTGCTACAGGTAAGAGCTTGCAACACAGGGAATCCAGGACAGATAAACGCATCAGGGCCAACAAGGAGAGTAGAGATACCAGGAGGATTAGGGGAGGGGGGGAATTGATCACAAGGATTAATCTAGAACCTCCTCCCAGGGGGACAAATAACAGAAAAGTGGCTTAGTGGTGATGGAGGATGATGTAAGTTATGGAAATAATACTCTATAACTTATCAAGGGTTTGTGATGGAGGGCGGGCGGGGGAGGGAGAGGGAAGAAATGAGCTGATAATCCGGGGTTTATGGGAATAAAATGCTTTGAAAATGGCAGTGGCATATGTGAAAATGTGCTTGACACACTAGATGAATGTATGGATTCTGATAGGAGATGTAAGAACCGGCAATAAAAGTTGTTTTTTTTTTTAAAGGAAAACTCTGGTACTTTAACCCTTCATGAAGGAACAGGGTAGATATCTGCTTTTGCAGCCCTGTGGATCCTTCTGGTGCCTCAAGGGGCACAGGATCACCCTTTTATTTAAAAACACGGTTGTAACATTACTGCGTCTGCTACAAGTTTGCATGAATATTTTGCTGTAAACACACAGCTGCCCATCTTGCGAGACTGAAGAGCAAAGTATTTGGGGGACACGCCCATTGTTGTGCACTGCAATCCTGCAGTAAATGTATTGGTGACAGGCCCAATTCCAGCTATACCGCCTCGTTTTCCCAGAGTAGCAAGGACTGGAGATCAGCTTTATCCAGGGATACTGCATAGGACGCCCATGAAAGGAGTCTATTTTTGGATACCAGCATTGCAGGGAGCGAAGTAGACTTGAGTCCATCAGTTTACAGATCAACATGTGGGAGGACAGCGCCTCACCAATGGCTGAGCACACTGCTGTCTTGAGCAGACCTCTCACCTCTGTGTCCTGAGACCCTGTCTCCCCTTCAAGAGTTGCATGTGTATTATGGACACTCCCTTTCAATTCTTTATGTCTCCATCACTCTTAATCTTTGTTGACATATTTCCTCAAATTATTTTCAACCATGCTAAAGTGAGACATTGCAAAAATGTGGCCACATCCATATTTGTCTATGAGTTTGTTGTGGGGTTTTTTTTTTCATTCTCGATCTTGTTTTTTTGCTGTTTATTGTGAATCTCAACCTGTATTACTGGATCAGGGTCTGGAAGACTTAATAATGGAGAAAAGTTATCCATTGAACATATTCTGGCAACATTCAGGAACAGTAACGCCTGGTCCCCCTTGTTAGCGGAAATCTTGGAGACACGTGGCAGTAAAGACCAGCAGAGATACCAGAGGAGGCATTTGAGGTGAGTATCATCCATGTAAAGCTAGACCGTGCCCGGTGGGGAAAAATCATAAGGTGTCAAGAAAAACCATTTTTTCGATTAGGATTCGAAAGGTTTGCAGAAAATTGGAATTAGAAGCTATGGGATATTTCAATGAACCTTTGGACGCCCCCTTGTGCACCATGGCTTCAAATCAGCTTCTAGTGGGTCAGCAGTTACGAATGCTTACCAGCCTAAATGAGGATCATGTACATGTTGCATAGCAACCAGATTTTGACCCAAGCAGGAAACATTCAGTACTGTCCTGTCCAAAGATGGTGACAGATTTTTCCACTTGGAATATATGTCAGTCTCTATCTCCTGGCAGTGTTAGAGTTTTTGTTAGGATTCCCTGGGGATTCCGGATCCTGAAAGAAAAGGTCAGACGCGAAGTATTCAGGGAGTTTTTACATTAAAATGTTTTCCTAAGTGTAACATAACGACTATTTGAACCACATTTCCCTCGCATTCAATTCAGTGATTGAAGTGCTAACATTTCTGGCAGATACTTTAACCCATTAAACATGAGATGAGTTGACAAATTCAGTGTGTCTGGTCATCGTCACAGGGGACATGCATTTCTAACTGAATGCTGCCTGTTTTTAACAGGATCCATAAACTAAAGAGCGATGCTGAAGTGAGTGGAAGCTCTCCGTGTGAGAAACCCTTTGGCCAGCTTCCATGTCCTGATGTGCCACAAAGAAACGCTCCTCAACCCAATCCTTTTGAATGCTCTGTATGTGGAAACGCCTTCGTGGATCAGTCCTCTTACAGCCAGCACGTCCAGTGTCACACTGAATGCACCACCTGTCCGTGTAAGGACTGTGGAGAATCCTGCAGGTGTCTTTGTCACTTAACCACTCCTGTGAGGACTCGTAAAGGGAAGAACCCTCATACATGTCAGGATCAGGAGAAGGACGCCCCTTGTCTCTCTGCCCATGAAACTCCTGTGACAAAACTCACTGGTGTAGCACGGCATGGTTGTAAAGAATGTGGGAAAGTGTTTAGGGTTCGCGCAGCGCTCACCATACACTCAAGAACTCATAGTGCAGAGAAATCTCTTGAATGTAAGCAGTGTGGGAAAGCTTTCAAAAGTTCCTCAGCCCTCTGTAAACATTTGAAAACCCACAGTGAAGAAAGGCCTTATGAATGTGGAGAATGTGGGAAAGCTTTCCGTAGACCATCACACCTTGCTTCTCATAAAATGACTCACAGTGGAGAGAAACCGTATCAGTGTAAGGAGTGTGGGATGCGGTTTAGTCAATCGTCAACACTGAATGTGCATAAAAGAATTCACAGTGAAGAGAAACCTTATGAATGTCAAGAATGTGGGAAAGCTTTCCGTATTTCATCATACCTTGCTTCTCATCGGAAAATTCACAGTGGAGAGAAACCTTATCAATGTAAGCAGTGCGGGAAAGGCTTTAGTCAACCCTCAACACTCACTATGCATAAAAGAACTCATAGTGGAGAGAAACCTTATAAATGTCAACAATGTGGGAAAACCTTTCGCTGTTCCTCATCTCTCCATCGCCACATACGTACTCACAGTGTAGAGAAGCCGTATGAATGTAAGGAATGTGGCAAAACCTTTAAATATTCTTCAGCTATCATTTCACATAGAAAAATTCACAGAGCAGACCGACCCTATCAGTGTCAGGAATGTGGAAAAGCCTTTAAAGTTTCTTCAGGTCTCAATTCACATAGACGAACTCACAGTGGAGAGAAACCTTTTGAATGTAACCAGTGTGGGAAGCACTTTCGTTTTTCTTCAGCCCTAGCAATGCATCAAAGAATTCACAGTGGGGAGAAACCTTTTAAATGTAAGGAATGTGGGAAAGCTTTTACCTGTTCCTCAGGTCTCACTACACACATGCGAATTCACAGTGGAGACAGGCCATATCCGTGTGAGGAATGTGGGAAAGCCTTCACACAGTCCTCAGCTCTCAGGACACACAGAAAAACTCATATTGGAGTAAAACTTTATGAATGTAAAGAGTGTGGGAAAACCTTTAGTCAGTCTTTCAGTCTGACCACACATTTGCGAATTCACAGTGGGGAGAAGCCTTACAAATGCAAGGAATGTGGGAAGGCTTTTGTTTCTCAACCTGTCCTCAAATCACATATAAGAACCCACAGTGGAGAGAAACCATATAAATGCAGTGTGTGTGGGAAGGCCTTTAGACAGGCCACACACCTAACTACACATAAGAGAACTCACAGTGGAGAGAGACCTTATGAATGTAAGGAATGTGGGAAAGCGTTTAAGGATTGCACTGCTTTCACTGGGCACAAAAGAACTCACAGTGGAGAAAAGCCTTTTGAGTGTAAACAATGTGGCAAAGGCTTTGCCCAATCCTCGGCTCTCACTGTCCATCTAAGAACCCATAGTGGAGAGAAGCCTTATGAATGTAAGCAGTGTGGAAAATTGTTCATCTCTTCCTCAATGCTAAATAGCCATCTGAGAATGCACAGTGGGGAAATGCCTTATGAATGTGAAGACTGTGGCAAACTCTTCAGGCAATCCTCTAACCTCAAAACACACAGGAAAAGTCACAGGAAAGAGAAGCCTTAAGTAATGTGGGAGAACCTTAAAGTTCTGACACCACGAGGTGTATCAGAACTTACAGTAGAGAGGGCTTAGGAGTATAAGGCCTGACATCATACATCACGTTAAAGAATTCACTGTGTCGATTTCAAAAATACAATGTTTCGTTCTTGCTCCTATAATTTCAAAATATAACTCACCAAATGTTTTATTAAATAGCAATGTTTATTAGTAAGGAATATTGATGCCAAGAAAAGTTAATACAAATATTTTGTGCCTTTAAGATTAATGATAGCTATTCAGCGGCACTGGCTGGGGTTGAGATGGAAGTTAGTTTCTATGTAGCAGAAATAGGAAACAAATGAAGCAAAACTGCCCAAAGAGTCGAAATGCCCAGAGGATGGGTCTCACTCACGCACGCAGACAGACACACATGCAGAGAGCACTCATGCTGGGCAAACCCAGGATCGCGCTACTGCCCGAGTTGAATGATAGTGTTTGGTTTCTGTCTCTTGCCCTGTGCATGTGTATAAATGCTGCGGATTGGCATCTGTTGCTTCCTCAAGCCCTTCTACCTCCTTGCTCCTCACATTCATTGTGGGCAATGCAACCGTCTTGGGCTGCACGGAGAGGCTGCAAGGTGTGAGAGCTTAAACCAAAACCCCCAGAAATCATCAGACAATCAAGGAAGAAGAAAAGAAATCTGAACCGCTTGGGAATAACAATATAAAAAAGATTTCCTTTGTAAATGCAAGATGAAAATAGGAGGTTATTATGATTTGCCCTAGTCCTGCTAATTATCAGAGTAACTCATTTATTGACATGGATTATCCTTCAAATATTGAAAATCTTGCATTTTTAAAGACATGAATTCCTTTCTAACTCTTACAGGTAAAATTACCTGCTGGTAAGGTTGGAAATGATAGGCGTTTTGTATGCTTTATGGCAACTATTTATTTCTGTGGCCTATGCTCTCTGTTTTACCCAAGAATTTTTTAAAAGTATAATGCTCTTAGAATGTGGTATTTTACCATGATGTTCTTCAAGTAAGCTGATTTGGGGAACCAAAGGGTGTATTTGGAATTTTCTAATTTTGAAGTGCCTATGCTAATCTCATTCTTTCTGACAACAAGCTTTTTCTTTAAGAGGGCAAATAACCCAAATTATGATGCAGCATTTAAAATTTGTCTAAAGTTTTCCAAAAGTATATTGGGGGTGTTATGTAAATGTAAAAGCTAATATGATTAGCTCATGTATGTGGGCTTTGCTTTTAGAAGTCATTAAATAAAGCTTTTTCTTAAGTGCGAACAAAAAAAAGATCAATGATAATAAAAAAAGACAAGTGATATTGAATAGGGGTTAATTATAAGCTAGATATTTCTTAGTTTCTGTAACTATTACAAAGAATTTGTCACTAAGTAGCCTTCACCAAGAGGACTCTCATTCTTTACTAATTTCCTTGATTTTGTTTTACTATAATTATATATATTCGCCTTTTGTTACATTCAAGAGTGTTTTCTTTCTAATGACTTTCTATATTACTATTTTCCCCCTTATGAATAGTGTATTTATCATGACATTTTGAGATTTGTAAATGTTTGGTTTTCCGGGGAGGAGATGAGCCAGTCAGGGTGCGATGTAACGATGAGAAATACAACCTTCCTCTAGTTCCTAAATGCTTCCTCCCGCTCCCACTACCATGACTCGAATTCGACCTTGCAAGTCTGGCTAGACCAGGAGAGGTACACTGGTACAGATAGGAACTGAAAATACAGGGAATCCAGGACGGATGAGCCCTATAGGACCAGTGGTGTGAGTGGCAAAACAGGGAGGGTAAAGGGAGAATGGGTAGGAAAGAGGGAACCGATTACATGGAACTGTGTGTGACCTCCTCCCTGGGGGACAGGCAACCGAAAAGTGGGTGAAGGGAGACGTCGGACAGGGCAAGATATGACAAAATACCAATTTATAAACTATCAAGGGCTCATGCGGGAGGGGGAGTGGGGAGGGAGGGAAAAAATGAGGACCTAATGTCGGGGGTTTAAATGGAGAGAAAATGTTTTGAGAAACGATGTACAAATGCGCTTTACACAATTGATGTGTGTATGGATTGGGATAACAGTTGTATGAACCCCTAATAAAATGTTTAAAAAAAAATGTTTGGTTTTCTTCATATCTGATCTTACTGATTTTAGTATCCATTGATAATTATTCACTACATAATTAGTGAGATATTCCAAATGGGATTTTCAAATTACAAATGGAACTTTCTCTTTAGTTTTTTTTCCTCTTCAGTTGTTTTTACAGATGTGTACTAATTGGCGTTCAGCTATTTATGAGAACCATGCAAGCAGCCCCCATATTATGAACAAATCCTTTCTTCTCAGTGTATCAGTAAGTCAGAATCCCCACTATGTGGGAATGAAGTAAATACAGTTTGATTCTAATGACAGTGTTGTGTGCATAAGAAAGATTAGAGAAATGCACTCAGTTATTGAATCATCTGTCACATTAAAATAAAGGGGTCCTGGTGATGCCATGGTCACGTGTTGAGCCGCAATCTGAATGGTCGGCAGGTGGTAACCACCAGGTGCTCTGCTGGAGAAAGACTGGCCTTTCTAGTCCCACAAAATGTTTCAATCTCAAGACACCCACAGGGTCACATTGTTTCCTTGGCAGCAGGATGGTATGGGGAATTAGACATTGGGGTGTTAGTGGAAAAGCACTTCAGGAAGAACGATGGTGCGCTTGTCATAGGAAAGCATTTAAAAGCCTTTAAAATCCTGAGGCATTTCTCCTGTGCCTATAGAGTGAACACTTCAGTGTTTTTATTTTAAAGTAATTTGATGCGTGCCTAAAACTCGTAATGTATTTGTTTCTTTGAAACCAACTTGTATGTCACAAGATCATCCAAATTTGTCTGTTTTACTTTTATTCTTTTTGTAGCCTACCAGAACAATGTTTAGATCTGATAGTTGATGAGTCTGGGATGGGGGTAGAGGTGTGGGCACTGTTTAAAAATGTGATGCTTCTGTCTCTTTAAAGTTTTTCATGGTATTATTATTATTTTACTTTTATAAGATTACACACTAAATATATATTTTGGTGTGTATATATATATATATATGTAATTTTTTAATCGTTTTATTAGGGGCTCATACAACTCTTATCACAATCCATACATACATCAATTGTGTCAAGCACATTTATACATTCATTGCCCTCATCATTCTCAAAATATTTGCTCTCCACTTAAGCCCCAGGCATCTGGTCCTCGGTGTATATATTTTGGTGTGTATAGTAGACTCTGACTCATGGTGATACTGCAGGATAAGGTTGCACTGCCCCGTGGGTTTCTAAGACTAACCCTTTATGGGAGTAGAAGCATCTTTCCCTGCAAGGTGCAACTGGTAGCTTTAAACTGCTGACCTTGCAGTTAGCAGCCCAGTGCACAGCCCTCATGGGTGCCATGGTGGCATAGTGGTCATTCATTGGGCTACTCACTGCAAGTGCAGCAAGCTTTTGTTGTGGGATCTAAGATATACAGAAAGGCATTTTGGGTAGTCGCACTGCCCATCACATTAAATCGGGCAGTATCTCGTAGCCCCTGTCCCAGTCGATGCATATTGTTTTCATTTTCTCACCTTCACGCTTTCCTTATATTCCCTGCCCCTTCGCACATCCCCTCCTGCCTTGTCCCCTGCCAACAACTGCCTTTTGACTTGTGAACAGATTCTGCAGGAGCACAAAGACGTGTTCTGGAATTCCCATTCTCCTGAAGGTGATCCATAGTTTGTTAGGATCCACACCGTGGAATGCGTGTACATAGTCAATGAAATACAGGTAGGCATCTTTCTGGTGTTCAATGGTTGGAGCCAAGAAATGCCTCATGCCATCAGTGATAGCCCACAGGTGACATCCTCTTCCGATCAGTTTGGATTCCTGGCAGTTCAACCATGGTTGAATTACGATCAGTAAAAATTGGCTTTCGTGTGAAATTATGACATTATTGGATAATTGGCACGTTCTGTGGTCACCTGTCTTCGGAATGGCTGTAAGTATGGCCGTCTTCCAGTCAGTTATCTAGGGAGCTTGCTTCTTGATTTCTTGGCAGATGAATGAGTGCTTCCGTGTTTTATCACCTTACTGGTACCCTGTCAGTTCCTGGAGGCTTGTTTTGCGCCAGTGCCTTCAGGGCATCTTAGACTTCTTCCACCCTCGGTCTTCCTTCATTCCATCCTCTTCTGATGCTTCCTGCATTGTTCAATATTTTGCCCATAGAATCTTTCAGTGATGCAACTTGTACCTTGAGTGTTTCTTCTGTTCCTTCAGATTGAAATATACTTTATATACTCGTGTATGAGCCGAGTTTTGGGGCACACTTTTTATGCTGAAAAAGCCCCCCACATAACTTCTCTGGTGCAGTGTGGGTGTTCTGTCTCTCCCGCCCATCTGTGGGCATCTGCAGCCGCTGTGGGTGGTCTGATGTCTGCTAATATCACCCCTTTTTTTTTTCTTTTATTACGGACTCTTACATATCTTATCCATACATTCATCCTGGGTATCAAGCACATTTGCACATATGCCACCATCATAATTTTCAAAGCATTCTCTTCCCACTTGAGCCCCTGATATCACCTCTCCATTTCTTCCCCCTCCCTCCTCCACCCTTGATAAGTTATAGATTATTATTTTCATATTACATCATCCTCTGTCACCCCTCACCTACTTTTCCATTGTTCATCCCTCTGGGAGCGGTTTATGGATTGATACTTGTGATCGATTACCCCTTTCACACACCCCCTCACCCCCTAATCCTCCTGGTATCTCTACTCTCATTGTTGGCCCTTGGGAGTTTATCTAGCCTTGATTTCCGTGTTTGGATCTCTTATCTGTAGCACTGTGCATGTTCTTGTCTAATCTGATTTGCAATGTAGAATTGAGGTCATGATATTGGGTAAAGGAGTACCAAAGAGCTAGAGGAAAGTTGTGTGTTTCATCGGTGCTATACTGCACCCTGACTGGCTCCTCTCTTCCCTGTGACCCCTCTGTGAGGGGATGTCCAGTTGTCCACAAATGGGCATTGGGTCTCCACTCCTCTCCCCCCCACCCCCATTCACATTGGGTATGATTTTGTTCTGGGTCTTAGATATCTGGTACCTGGTCCCTTCGACACCTCGTGGTCACACAGGCTGGTGTGTTTCTTCCATATGGGCTTGGTTGCTTCTGAGCTAGATGGTCACTTGTTTATCTTCAAGCCTTTAAGACCCCATGTGTTCGTCTGGGTACTTTAGAAAAACAAATCCACAGAAACTCATGTATAAGAGAGAGTTTTATACAAAGGTCATGTGTGCATCAAGAAAACAATCCCAACCCAGTGCTGCCCAAGCCCACAAGTCCACCATTAGCTCGTTAACCCATATTTCCAACACCAATCCACAAAGTCTGCCTCCATCTCACAAAACACAGAATGATGTCAACTGTAGGAGGAAAGCCGAATCAGTGAGTGTGTAAGCATCTCAGTGCTGGCAGGGGTCTCCACATGGCTGCTTCAGTACCCAGGGCTGCATCAAGGTAGGTCCATGTGGCTTCTACTCAGGGATGTCTTGCAGGAAGTGATCCTTGCAAGCTGAAGCAGGAACTAGCTAAGGCAGCTGCACCCTGGTCTGACCATCACAAAGCAAGAGACCCGATAACTCGAAAGGTGAGGCTCACTGAGCCATTTATCCCTCCTCCCTTTCAGTTAACCCTACATGTGTTTATTGGCCAGGTTTGCACAATAAACTAACTCAATCCACCCCATGCCAACTTGGCACCTGTACATCATTCTTTAGCCTCAAAATTGCAATTAATAACACCTACACATTAACCCTATAATCCTGTGAATTTTTCCCCCACCTCTGAAAGTTCGTAAGCCAACCACTTCATGCCTTTATCCCCCAATTTTGGGTTTCCAATTTATATACTGCTCACTTACATCAACTCAGTTCTCTGAGAAGACAGTCATATTTTTTTACATGAAGAGTCTTCATTCAAGTTGGAACTTTGTGAAGTCTGCATCCATAAACAAAGTCAAATCCAGACAGGCCATCCATAAAGTCAGCAACAATATGCACCAGTTCACAAACATCTCCATCTGGTCGAGTTCTGGTCAACTCAATGTGGGCTGCCTCACTCAGCCTCCACAGGGTGTCCATTGGTCGCCTTGTCTTTAGACCATGAGCTCTCACCAATACTCAGCAAGCCTAGCCCCCTCGTGCTAGGTCATGAACTTTAGACAAGTCAACCTGCTCTCATCTCTCCTATCCTGTAAACCAAGACCACAGGTGTCAGTAGCCAAACTCAACCATCTCTTTATTGCTGCATTTCTCCCACTTCCACTCAGCAAGTAGATCCAGGTGGTTACCTAGCAAGCATCTCAGCTTGCCCACTGGCTCCCTTTAATGTTCAGTCCCAGAGAGGAGTTTTCTTCATGGTTCCAGATTTTTTCCAGCTTCTGACAAAAACTACTGGTTCCCGAGTACTCCAAAGCACTTGGTGGGGCATATCTTTCAGTGCATAGCTTTCTTTGCAGGCATGGCCTAAACCCATTTAAACATCAAATTTTAATAGCTCAAAGCAAGTGGGCTTACAAACTTTCTATTTTCAGACTTCCCATATTTTCTCAAAAAACAGC